CGCCGTTACCGTATGCCGTGAGGGAGGCCATCCTGGCCCGCGTCCTGCCCAGGCTGGCCAGGGCGTCGGCGACAGCGGCCGCCTGCGCGTGGCGCCCCTGGACGGCGGGCGTCCCGCCCCGCGAAGGCATGCGCTCGGCTCCCGCGGCGCCCTGCCTCCCAGCTCCCGAGCACGCCCAGTCAGCTCGCCGCGGCCGCCCCGGAGAGGTGCCGGCGGCGCGCAGACACCCGGGGCCGGGTCTCGCTGCCAGGGCGCGGGGAGCAAGGGCGCAAACGGGCCGCGGCGCTCCAGGTCCCGGCGGGGATTGAACCTGCGCCGGAGGACGCGCGACCCGGAGAGAGGAGGGGCGAAACAGGCGGTGGGAGGGGCCGGGCGGAAGCGCGAGGCGGCTGCGGCCCCAGCCAGCCGGCGGCGGGCGGGACCCCGGCTGAGTCCACGCCAAGCCGGGTGGCCCTCGGGGTGGGGGCGACAGGGGTGACGCGGGCAGACGCGGGATCGGGAAGTCCAGAGCGCGCCACGGTTTCCGGGACCTCGAGCCTTCAGCTCCCTTGCTAGGGAAGTTCCCCTGGAGAGCGTGCCTGGGGATGGGGCGCTGGGTCCGGCCGCCTGTGACTATAGGGTGCGGTTCCCAGCCCAGGAGGCAGTCTCGAGAAGGCTTTGCCTCCGAGGCCAAAGCCCAGGGGCGAGTGGCAGTTTTGCCTTGAGGACTTTTATTAATGACGTCCTTGACCGCTAAGTACCGAGTTCTGACCCCAACAGTTAATACCTGTCCCAGCAGCAGCAGCATCCTGTCGCCTTTATTCGTGCGTCTCTCTCCCCACGAGGCTGTGATCAGTGTTCTATTCCCCTCTGACTGCCCTGCGCCTCGATCAGGGCACGAACTCAAACATTATTTGTCGAAATGACTGAATGTCCGAGCCCCTTGCTCGCCCCCGCTGGAAGCCTACCCATCCTATTGTGAGGGTTCTTTGTTTTGAATCAGGGTCTGGAAAATGGGGAACGAGAAAGAGATCCAAGAAGCCAGTAGTATCCATGGGGATGGGGACAAGAGAAAAGGGGAGGCCGCCTAACGCCCCCTCGGGTTCAGGCGCACCCGAGGCTTTGCAAGTCCCAAGTGCAGAGTCTCGAAGACACAGTGAGGGCCCTCGGGGCTTCCTGGCGCGGGGCTGACTGTCCTGGTCACCGGGGTATCTCGGCCTTGAAAAACTCCAGTGCCCAACGAATTGCGGGGCGATGCTGTCAAGGCTATTTAACCGCGTATGGGCTGTGCCCACCCTGCTGGAGGCACAGGGAGGGCAGAGAAATCTGGCTCAGGCAAAACAGGGCGTTTCTTTAGCAAGGTTTCCGAGCGCCCCTCTCGCCACCGCCACTGTCCTTGGTGCTCGCCGGCCTATCCCAGGTGTCAGGTTTTCGCACTTGCAACCTTCCTCCCCTCCCGTCCCCTCCCCTCTCCTCCCCTTCCCTTCCCGCGCTCCGGCTCTTCTGGGAGGGCAGCGAGGCGGCAGCGGGGGACCGATGGGCGAAGCTCTAGGATGAAATGTCACTTTGTGGTCGGTGGAGTCAGGCCGGGAGAAGGGCGAGGCCGCCCTGGGCAGTGAGATCGCGTGATCTGACAGTTTATTCCTGCTGGGTCAGCCAACTACCAGCAGGTGACCCTTAGTCAAGACGCCCTGTGTGACCCTTCATTTTCCCCATCTCTAAAGTGGCCGTCACCGTTGCTAGTTAGCACTGTGCCCACCTCACAGGACGGTGGCAGGGCCCGGGTGGCAGGGATCCAGCTCAACACTCTGGGCTGGGTGCTCTTTTCAGCCTGTCCCACCTCTGGTGCCCAGTCCTGTGCCAGCCCTGGGGCCTGAGCCTGGAGCTGCTCCCTTGCTTCCCCTTCGTGCCTCCGCGGAGACCCAAGTCCATCTGCAAGTTGTCTTCAGCAATCCAGGTGCTGGTCTTTCTTCTCCCTCTGCCTCCACATTTTAGCTCAGGTAGGGTCATGAGGAAGGATGATCAAAACATGTTACAAATTGCACTTTACTTCTTCTTGGCAGCTCTTTCTAATCAGCAGGAACTTAAAAGTAGTGTCTAATTAATTAACCTCTCTTAAGGCCACCTGAACTTCTGTCCCCATAATACCACTCCAAGTCCTTGAGAATCCTGGGCCTCTTGCTTGGGGAATCAATGGACAAATACACCTCATTCTTTCATTGTCAGGTTTGCCGAGACCCTTCCCTTGTGCTCAGGCCCTGCGCTGTCAGGTAGGGCTGAGGTCTTGAAGCAGCCTCCCTGTCTCCTGGTCTGCAGCAGGAGGGGTAGCCTCACCCTGGCTCATTCTTGAGAAGAACAGGCCAAAAAAAGTTATGATACTGTGATGAAGCACGGGGTGGTAAAGACACCTTGCAAGGAGCGAGAGGGGTCTTTCTTCGCAGTGTTCACAGATGACTTCACCGAGGAAACGACGTTTGAAAGATGAGGTCCAGGATTTGTGTTGTTGTCGGTAAAATTTCTTAAAGACAAGCTTGTCATTCAGATTTTCTTATGTTTTATTCATTCACCATGTCTTCAGGAGTAAAACATGAACTGTCACAACCTTGATGAAAGCTGTATTCTAAATCTTTCCAGGAAAACGCCTTTTTCAGATGATAGACTGAGGAAAACTAGTCCTTCACTTTTCAGCACGCTCTGAACCTGAACTATTTGAGGTATTATTAACTGCTCTGAACGTGATTATATTGCATTTGACACTGGAAGTGGCCACCTCTCTGTGATTAACATTTTTTTGGTGATTAACATTTTTAATAACTTATTTTAAGTTTTTAGTTTAGTAACTACTCTGCAAATACTCATCCTTTAAAACTATTGCAGCTGAAAACTAATTTAGTTTTCATATGACCACCATCAGCTTGACTTAGAATGTGATCCATTATTAAAGATTTAACAAATTGAATGTTTTAAAATAACTAATTTCAACAATGGAGCATTATAGCTACATAACAGATCCGTTTCTATAACAATAAGGGCTCCCTTGGAGCTCTGCTATAATTTGCTACACCTGCAAAAAATAAATGTAGGTAAAATGAAATGACAACTTTTGTTTTTCAAAATTCAAAAATTAAATACATTCAAATTATATAAAGCAGTTAGCCCCTCACAGTTAAATGTGTTTGGAGACTGCTTCATGCATTCTTTCCTTGTATGAATGCATTTTATAACATATTTCACTAATCATTCTCCAGCCAGCTTAACTGAATTTAGCATAAAATAGAATTTGCTTTGGGGGGACGTTATCTTGTTATTAAATCCTATGCATTTATACCAAGGAAAATTTATTAGAGGATCCAATAATATTTATCTTAAATATGCTTTGTTATACAAATGCCGTATGACTCCTTTCTGAAAACAGACATGTGTATCTCATCCTGAAACTATGAGTGTTGCAATGACTGTACGGGTGAAAATGTTTTATATTCAGATTCATTTGGATTTGAATTATTCTGAATTCATATTGATGAAAAAATTACCATAACTTCCATCTCAATGTGAAAAGCAAAAATTTCTATATTAAAAAACTATTTCCTATTTGGGACTTCCCTGGTGGCGCAGTGGTTAAGAATCCACCTGCCAATGCAGGGGACATGGGTTCAAGTCCTGGTCCGGGAAGATCCCACATGCTGCGGAGCAACTAAGCCCATGCACCACAACTACTGAAGCCCATGCGCCTAGAGCCCATGCTCCACAACAAGAGAAGCCACTGCAATGAGAAGCCCATGCACCGCAATGAAGAGCAGCCCCCCCTCGCCGCAACTAGAGAAAGCCCGCGTGCAGCAATGAAGACCCAACACAGCCAAAAAAAAAAAAAAAAAAAACACTATTTCCCATCTCCTAGAAAGCAACATATGAAAATATCACCTTTCTAACCTGCAATGAACACCATTAAACAAGAGTCTTATGTAAAAAATATCTCCTCTGGAGTTTGTTCATTAAATAGTTTCTCTGACATAGAAAGGAATTTATATGGGACTTGTGTTGTCCAGAACAGGAGAAGAGGAGCTTGACCAAATTCACTAGATGATAAACTATGCAAAAGACTGGATTATGTCTTATTTTTCTTTATTTTGCCCACAGTCAATGGGCAAATAAATGTGTATTGCTCAGAGAATCATGGAAAGTCAGATCCAAGAGGAGACTTAGAAAAGAGCACTGGTTCTGGGGTCAGCCTGAATTCAAATTCCAAACTGCACCACGTATTCATTGTATGATCTGGGCCTCAGTTCCTCATCTGCAAAATGGGGTAATAATAATAGCTACAGCATAGGGTTGTTGAGGGTGTCGAACAAGTTAATAGGTATAAAGCCTTTAGAACAGTTCTCAATAGATGTTAACCCCTATTATTTATTATAAGCAGTTTTCCGGGATTCTCTTAGGAATGCCAACCAAGTAGTAATCCCTTTCATAAGGGTTAATGATGTTCATAATATTGAACAGCCAATACTGCACATGCACCCCTAAACAGGGACCCCAGGTGTGCCAGGCTTAACCCTTTAGCCGCTGGGTTGTGGGGAAGTCCCGGGGAAACAAGGTGCCAGGCAATGGGGGTCTTGGGGCAGTGCCTGTTTATTATAACAAGAATGGAGGATTTCAGGACTTTAATACTGGGACCAGTGTGTCCTGGCTGAACATCAGTTCTGCTTCCCACCTTCCCACCCTAGACATCCAAACCACTGAACTTTCTAATCACTCCACAGAGCACCAGTCCTTTTCAGCCCAAACACATTTTAGTTTCTAATTCCCTACTGAGAGAGGTGAAAGCAAACATAATGGGATAATCAGAATATATATAACAACTGATATTAGGAGAGACATGTAAATCCTCTATTTATGAACACTTCTTAATAAGAGATTTTAAATATCTGTTTAATAGAACATGTATAGGGTGGTAAGTGCCAAGGGATTTTAAAATAACATCAACCAAACAATCCAAAATAAATAAATTAATAGTAACAAAGAGAAATGCTGAATGGATTTTTATTAGCTGCCTACCGAGAATAAATTTCATGCGAGAAGAATACAATCATTAGGGAGGAAAATATTTGCCTCCACTGCAGAAAAGCAGACTAAGAAATAAAAGGCAAACAAAACCCAGAGAAGATTTAAAAACCAGTGGCAGCAAAGTCCTAAAGGGAAAAGATCATGTTAATGAAAGAAATCACCAATCCTCCATTCACTGACTTGAACTGAGTTTTCTCCATTTGGTCAAACAATCTAAAGCCCAAAGAGTGAACACTGGATCACAGAGAATTTAGTCTTTCATGTCAGGATAGATCTTCCTCTCTCATGGGGCACTTTTGTAGGTTCCTCAGAGAACATCCATCTGAATGTCCGTGACACAGGCAGTGCATCTCCTCTGCTGGCTGCTTGTGATTCTCTCAGCCCCCAGGAGCCTGGTAGTTCACCCTTCTCATTTTCAACAATATACCCCTAAGGTAGGTGCGTGCTGGGGGTTGCGAAACCCGTGTCTGACCACCTCATCTGTAAGTTCTGTGAGGAGTGTAACATCTTATTTTGGAATGAGATATTTTCTACCCATTTTGCTTTTGGCCTTTTGGGGCATCTGCCAAAAAAAAAAAAAATTGAAGAAAGAATCAGAAAGAATTTCATTTTTTTTAAAAAAATAAGACTTTTCTTAGAGCAGTTTTAGGGTCACAGCAAAATTGAGGGGAAGGTATTAGAGATTTCCCATATACCCGGCCCTGACTCACGCACCCACCACGTGATCAACATCCCTCACAAAGTGGTATAGTTGTTACAACTGATGAACCTACATTGACACATCATAATCACTCAAAATCCATAGTTTACATTAGGGTCCACTCTTGGCACTGTACATTCTGAGTTTGGACAAATATGTAACGACAAGTATCCATCATTATAGTATCATACAGAGTATTTTCGCTGCCCTAAAAATCCTCTGTGCTCTGTCTATTCATGCCTCCCCAATCCAACCCCTGGCAACCACTGATCTTTGTATTGTCTCCATAGTTTTGCCTTTTCTAGAATATTTTATAGTTGGACTCATACAGTATGTAACCTTTTCAGGTTGGCTTCTTTCACTTAGTAATATGCATTTAAATCTCCTCCATGTCTTTTGATAGCTCCTTTATTTTTAGTGCTGAATAATATTCCATTGTCTAGATATACTAAAGTTTATTTATCCATTCACCCACTGAAGGACATCTTGATTGCTTCCAAGTTGTGGCAATTATGAATAAAGCTGCTATAAACATCCATGTGCAGGTTTTTGTGTGGACATAAGTTTTCAACTACTTTGGAACTGAAACACCAAAGAGCAAAATTGCTGGATTGTACGGGAAGAGGATGTTCAGTTTTGTAGGAAACCGCCGAATTGTCTGTCAAAGTGGCTGTGCAATTTTGCACTCCCCGGAGCAATGAATGAGAGTTCCTGATGCTCCACACGCTTGCCAGCATTTTGTGTTGTCAGTGTTCTGGATTCTGTCCATTCTTATAGTTATGTAGTAGTATCTCATTTTGTTTTAATTAACATTTCCCTGATGACATATGATATGGAGCATCTTTTCATATGCGTATTTGTATCTGTTTATCTTCTTTGGTGAGGGTTTGTTAAGGTCTTTGGCCCATTCTTTAATTGGGTTGTTTGTTTTCTTACTGTTGAATCTTAAGTGTTCTTTGTAAATTTTGGATAACAGCCCTTTATCAATGTGTCTTTTGCAGGTATTCTCTCCGCATTTGTGGTTTCTCTTCCCATTCTCTTGACATTGTCTTTCACAGAGCAGAAGTTTTTAAATTTTAATGAAGTCCAGCTTATCAGTTATTTCCTTCACCAATCATACCTTCGGTGTTATGTCTAAAAAGCCACCAGCATACCCAATGTTATCTAGGTTTTCTCTTATGTCACATTCTAGAAGGTTTATAGTTTTGCATTTTACGTTTAGCTATGTGATCCAGTTTGAGTTAATTTTTGTGAAGGGTGTAAAGTCTGTGTCTAGATTTTTTTTTTTTTTTTGCATATGGATGTCCAGTTGTTCCGGCACCATTTGTTTAAGGGACTTTCTTTGCTCTATTATACTGCCTTTGCTCTTTTGTAAAAACTCAGTTCGCTGTATTTATGTGGGCCTATTTCTGGGCTCTCTGTTCTGTTACATTGATATCTTTATCTATTCTTTCACCAGTATCACACTGTCTTGACTATTATAGCTTTACAGTAAGTCTTGAAATAGGTTGCGTCAGTTCTCCAACTTTGTTCTTCTCCTTTAATATTGTATTAACTCTTCTGGGTCTTTTGTCTCTTCAAATAAACTTTAGAATTAGTTTGTCAATATCCACAAAATAACTTTCTGGGATTGGGATTGCATTGAAGCTATAGATCAAATCGGGGAAAACTGACATATTGACAATATTGAGTCTTGCTATCTATCAGCATGGACTATCTCTCCATTTATTTATTTCTTCTTTGGTTTTGTTCGTCAGAGTCTTATACTTTTCCTCATACCGTTCTTATACATATTTTGTTAAATTTATACCTAAGTGATTTACTTTGGGGCGTGCTGATGTAAATGGTATTATGTTTCTAATTTCAAATTTTACTTGTTCATTGATGATATATAGGAAAGCAACTGATTTTTGTATGCTAACCTTATACCTTGCAACCTTGCTATAATCATTTATTAATTCCAGGAGTGCTTTGTTGTTGTTGTTCTTGTTGATTCTTTTGAATCTTCTACATAGATGATCATGTCATCTGTGAACAAAGAGAGTTTTATTTCTTCCTTCACAATCTGTATACATTTTGTTTCCTTTTCTTCTCTTACTGCATTAGCTAAAACTTTCAGTATGTTGCTGAAAAGGAATGGTGAGAGGGAACATCCTTTCCTTGTATCTGATTTTAATGTAAAAGCTTTGAATTTCTCACCATTTAGTGTGACATTAGCTCTAAGCTTTTTGTATATATTCTTTATTAAGTTTATTAAGAAGTTCCCCTGTATTCACAGTTTACTGAGAGTTTTGATTGAATAGGTGACAGATTTTATCAAATGCTTTTTCTGCATCTCTTGATAAGATCATGTGATTTTTTTTTCTGGAAAATCCCAAAATACTTGGAAATGAAACATACACTTCTAAATAACTCTTGGATCAAAGACAAATAACAAGAGGCATTAGAAAATATTTTGAACTGAATAAAAATGAAAAAAATCGTATCAAAATTTGTAGGGTACAGCTAAATCAGCATGTAAAGGGAAACTTACAGCTTTACCTGCTTATATTAGAAAATAAGAAAGGTCTCAAATCAATAACCTAAGTTTCCACTTTAAGATACTACAAAAGAAGAATAAATTACACTCAAAGCAAGTAGACGGGAGGAAATAATAAAGATAACAATTGAAACCAAAGAAATAGAAACCATAAAAGCAGTAAAGAAAGTCAATAAAGCCAAAAGCTGTTTCTTTGAAAAGATTAATGCAGTTGAAATCATCTAGCTAAACTGATCAAGAAAAAATGGGAGAAGAAACAAATTACCAACATTAGGAACGAAAGGAGGGACATTACTATAGATCTTACAGATATTAAAAGGATTATAAGGGAATATTATGATGACTTCATGCCAGTAAATTTGACAACTGAAATAAATTATACAAATTCGTTTAGAAATACAAAATCAAAACTGAACGAAAATTAATTCTATGTCTATATACCAGCAACTATTTCCATTTACAATAGCATAAAAACACTTAAGAATACATTTAATGAAAGTTATACAAAATCTGTATTCTTAAAACTAGAAAACATTGCTGAAAGAAAGTAAAGGGGATCTAAATAAGTAGTAGGATATATTATTCTGTGGATTGGAAGGCTCAGTTGTTGACATATCAATTTTCCCCTAATTGAACTGTAGTTTCATTGTAGTCTGTGTGAAAATCCCAGCAGGGATTTTTTTTTTTTTAAGAAATTAAAAAGCTATTTCTAAAATTTTTATAGAACTACTACTAGAAGAACCAAATCAATTTTGAAAGAGAAAAACCATCTTGGAAGATTTACACTACCTGATTCAAGACTTATTCTAAAGCTACAGAATCAAGACAGTGTGGTATTGGCATAAGCATAGACATATAGATCAATGGGACAGAATAGAGCATCCAGAAATAGGCCCACACTTATATGGTCAACTGACCTTCAACAAAGATGCCAAGGTAATTCAATGAGGAAAGGATGGTCTTGTCAACAAATTATGCTGGAATGGTTGGGCACCCATATATATAAAAAAAAAAAAAGAAGAAGAAGAAAGGAAGGAAGGAAGGAAAGGAAGAAGAGAGAAAATAGAAAGAAAGAACCCTGACCTTTATTTCACACCAAATACAAATTTTAATTTGACATTAACATTTCCAGTAAAAAGTATAGGAGATAATCTTTGTGATCTCAAGTTAAGTAAAAATTTCTAAAATGAAACAAAAATCATGAACCATTTAAAATATTGATAAATTAGACTTCATCAAAATTATAAAATTTGCTATTCAAGAGACACCATTAAGAAAAGGAGGCAAGCCCAAGAATGAAAGAAAATATTCACAATCCTTATATCTGAGGGAAGACTTGTATCTAGAATATAGAAAGAATTCTCACAACTCAATGAGACAAACAATTCCTCCTGCCAAAAAAAAAGTACAGAGGAGGTGGCAAAATATTTGAACAGACATTTCCCAAAAGAAGGCTGCAAATAGTCAATAAGTGTACGAGTAGACACTCATTTTCTTGGTACTTCTTCCTTGATGCCTAAAATATTCAGCACTGGAATCAGTTCAGTGGACTACGACATTGTCTCTTTAGTTCCCCTATTCATTTCAAGCACTTATTTAGGGAATAGTTGTTGAGTACCTACTTACATGCTCATTAAGCTATCACAAAACTAGTATGTTCTAAAGATGGGTAGAGAGATATAAAAGAACTACCATAACATGGTTGTAGCAGGTAGAACTCTTTCATTGGAAAATGCATCAGTTGGCTTTTGCTGCATAACAAACCACCCCAAATCTTAGTAATTTAAAATAGCAATCATTTATTTGGCTCATGATTCTTCTGGGAAGTTTTTCAGGTCTGGAAAAAGTTTGGCTGATTTCTGTTGGGTTTTTTCATGTGTCTAAGATGAGTTAGTGGATTGGCTGGGGCTGGCTAATCTAAGATGGCTCAGCTGAGACAACTCTTCTCTGCTCTGTTATTCAGCAAGGAGGTGACCTGCACTTATTCACATGGAAGCAGTGATGAGGAACAGAGCGCCAAGAGAAGACAAGCTCTGCTACACACATGGGTTATTGTATTTCTTTTTTTTTGGAGTATAATTGCTTTACAATGTTGTGTTAATTTCTGCTGTACAACAAAGTGAATCAGTTATATGTATACGTATATCCCCTCCCTCTTGGGCCTCCTTCCCACCCGCCCCCCATCCCACCCATCTAGGTCATCACAGAGCACGGAGCTGAGCTCTCTGTGCCATACCACAGTTCCCACTAGCTATCTATTTTACACATGGTAGTGCACACATGGTTTTCAAACCTCTTCTATGTCATGATTGTGGGCATCTTTTTTCCAAAGCAAATCACATGACTAGGCCCAGAGTCAGGGTGGGAGGGTCCTCAAAGGTGTACAGCAAGTGGGTAGGAATACATGGAGGAGAATTTGTGGCCATTTTTGCAATCTACCACTACAAGTAACACAATTCAAATCAACCTGAGCTAAGCAGAAGAGGCAATTATTGGTTCAAGTTACTGAAAATTCCAGACAACCAACCATGGCTGAATCCAGGGATTCAAATGCTATTAGCAGAACTCAATCTCATTTTCATCACTTCTTGGCATTCCTTCTTTTTTGACTTCATTCCTGGAAGGTTCTCACTTTGGTCACAAGATGACCTTTGGTAGGTACAGACTTTCATCTTATCCTTTCAACAACCCTAATAGAGAAAAAGTGGGTTTTCTCCCCCTTTCCAGTGGAAAGGATTGAGTCTTCCTTGACCAACGAAAGTAGCACATGCCTCTCTGAACCTATCTTAGTGGCCAGTAAGATGGAATAAATTGATTCTTTAGGACTTGTTCACATACCCACCCTTATCAGTAGGACAGGAATACTTCCTCCTCGATCACATAAATTGAGATGAGAAGGGGTGAATTCCCTAAGAAGGGGGACTGGATGCTCAACTGCCAAAACAATGGGTGCCTTAGCTGTCAAAACATCCTAATGAAGAAGATGTTATGTTATAACATGACTGGCAAGATACTACTGGTGCTGCTGTTGTTAACCTACTCTCTCTGATTACTAATCATAATGAATTTGCTCTGTGCCAAGCACTGGTACTTCACAAACTTTACATTATGGTGCTCCGGACCAAGAAAGGCAAAATGTGGATCCAAAGTACGCTTCATCCTGGACTCTGAGAGAGGTGGAACTACTGCGTTGTTTCCCTGGAAAAGCATGAGTGGATTCTGTATGTGAGAAAGAGCACATTGAAAATTTGGTGATAAGGAAAGTAGAGTGAGGTAGATATTAATGCTGCTTACCAACATTTCCAGTTCTCCTTCCATTCTGGGTACGTAGAAGCATCGCATTTTCCCAGCTTGTTGAAGTTAGGCATTTCCATAAAACTGTTTATTAGTAAAAATCAAACAAACAAAAAACTGTGAGCAGAAATTATATGTGCCACTTCTAGGCTGAAGTATTTAGTTGCCATGGTGATCATACAAGAACATGTTAATATGCAGGTGCCATAAAATTGAGGCAACATGAAATGCTGAGCCCTGAAGAGTCACCCGGACACAGAGCAAACTTTGCTTGAGTGAGTGAGAAATAAACTTGTGTTATGGGGGCTACTGAAAGTTTTGGAGTTATTTGTTACAGTAGTAGAATCAAACCTAATTGGGCCTAAACACAGTAAATAATACTATGAGACAATTTTATAGGTGAAGAAAATGAGGCAGAGAAAGTTTACACCAACCGCCTAGAGTCCCATATCCAGTGAGGGGCGGCCCAAGATTCAAATCCAGGTCTGTCTGATTCCAAAGTCCACGCACTGAATCTCCTTGCCCCTAACCTACAAGGAAGGAAGGGATGGAGGGAGGAAGATAGAATAGCAAAGCAAGAAATAAGGGCATTATTTTAAAGCAGCTCTGTCTCCTCAACCTATTCTCGAGTACATATACACAAACTATGAAAATATAAAAAGGGGGCTTTTTAGCTGCATGAGTTTGCAGTTTACTTGTGTGACCTGGACATCCATTCTGACAGAACTCATTAGTGCAAGGATAAGAAAGCCCAAATTCTAGTTCTGATTCTCTGTCTCTGTGTCCTGTTACATCACAGTTTCTCTGGTTATAATATGTATTTACATAGATTTTCAAACTAATAAGGTACCAGGCCTACTCACAATGTGATAAATGATCAAATATTTCTTCTTGCTGCCCATTATCAAACTGGCCTGAAAACTGACTGCTCTCACCAAATGCATCAGTTGAAGTCGGAATATGATTTTATTTGTCCATATTTAGGGAGGTGCTAGTTTGTTCCAGGCACACACCAGCCCTGCACATCTCTTTGTATATATACATCCTATCTTGGACACCACACATGTGGTCATCAGGGGTGAAACAAATAAATGCATATAAATGTGTCATAAATAATTGAGGTTTTCTTTTTTACTTTTCTATGGTTTTCAAGTTTTCCATAAAAAACATAATTTGAAAATATCACTAAATTTTTAAAGGGAAAATATGATGGCTAAATGATTTTAAGATATTAGAGCAAAGATATCAGGGAAGAGGAGCATTATATAAGTAACAGAAATATGCTACAAGTCAAATAGCTATATTTATTTACCCATGACAAACATATAATTGATGAACTTTCAGGTAGTATTTAAAATAAAAATGAAATGAAAACTACATACTTAGATTGTAATTTCTGACAAAGGTAGTTACATACCATACAAATGCAAAAAAGCTCAGACAGATACTTGCCCAGCTTTCACAATTTTACCTAGTTCTGAAGATAATTTTTGCAGAATCAGGGTCCAAAAGTTCATGTTGCGGGCATCTTCCTGAGAAACTCTTGAGGCGTGGCCTATTTTATATTGCATGCTTCAGGACTCTAAGGTCTATTTATATTCTGCTTAAGCTCCTGATGTAGTTTGAATCTTTTTTAAAACGTAAAATTAAATTGTGAATTTGGGGACAACTAATTTCAGCAAATTACAACTGAACTCTCAAACAGATTCCAGGATGTACTTTTCCCTACATATAACATGTTGTTTCAGAGAAATCAAGGCAATTTCGTAAGAATCTTTGCTACATTCTGTAATTTCAAGTAAAGCATATTACCATGGCATTGTTAAAGAAAAAAATTTCTTCCTGACTAAGAAGATGACTTCTAAGTTTTACCACAAGTATTTCTCGGTATAGCGTAAGCTTACAGAGAAAGAACACTGTGGACGCCTCTTTGAAGCTGATTGTGATGTATTTTGATCTCCAATATATTCACTATAACATTTATTACTCCTCTCATTCTTCCCATGAAGAAAAAATTGGAACCAAGCCATCCCTAGGCTTGCCTCTGAGAGCAGACTGTGTTGGTTAACTTCCCAATGTACTTTCTCTACTTTCTCTGACTAATACAATCCTGATTGTGTCCAGGATGGCAAGGGGCCCAGCTAAATTCTGATTTCCCAGCTCCTCTGCGGCTAGCTGAGGGCTGCATGCACCGTGCTAGCCAATGAAACATACATACAGGGTTTGCTCATACTGACGGTCTGCTGGGGATCCCCCGGAACTTCTTACTCCCTGCTCCTTCCTCCTTCTTCTTGCCTTGATTGTGAGCATGATGATTGGAATTCCTGTAACCATTCTGGGACAATGAAAGAAAGGCCAAAATTATCTCAGCGAGATAATCCTAGACATTGTTGAACTGATAAACCAACACCAGCAACCATCTGTTTCCTGACTTCATTTTCTATGAGAAAAATAAACTCCAGTTTGTTTAACACTGAAGTCATGTATTTTACTACCTCCAGCTGAAAACGTTCCTGTTGGTTTACCCCTCCTCAGTCCAGTCTTCTTGTGTAATCGGGTGGATAACAAAGCTTTTCTCTAATCTTTAACAGAAATCAAGAATGGGGATTCCTAATACATTAATTAGAACAGCTGCTCTTGCACCTGTGCCACTAATGAGCCACCCCCAGAAGACTTTTTGCTGTCAACTACAAAATCAGCACTCAAATAAGCAATTATTTACATTATTCAAAAAACTGCCCTACTCCCAAACCTCACACCCCTACATCTGCCTGAAGTCATCCTCTGTTTGAGATGGGGTTGTGTGATTGATAGAAGATTGTCCTTAATTCTCCATGTTGCTGTTATGGCTCTAGTCTGAGCATTAAGGACAAATTGGCTGTGAAAGGAAATTACACAGGAGGGAGAACTCTAAGGGCAAGATTATTCCAGATGATTAAATGAAAGCTCAGTTGGTTACAAAGGTCTGAGCTCAAAGGAATAGAGGTATATTAAACATGAGATGCAATTTGTTTGGAAGGATGACCCAAGTAATTTAGGAAGATGAGAAATACTATCTCCCGTTCTCATAAAGTAAGAGTTAAAAAACTATTAAAAAAAAAACACTATAAACAATCTTCTGGTTAGAACTGAAGATGAACACACAGAATGAAACTAAGGACGAGTAATGATAATAATTCCAATGAATTTTTATGATGCAAAGTACCTTACAGTCACTTTTCTTATGTAACTCTCACAACCATACCATCCAGAAGTTACTCTTAGTATCTCCATTTTAGATGAGGAAACAAAGATTGGAGAGGTTTCGCATCTTGCCTGAGATTATGTAACTAGTGAGAAGCAAAGTAAGGACTCAAACCCAGGGCCGTCTGACGCCAAAGGCCATGCTCTCAGCACCGCTCCTTAACCGTTGTGCTGTACTGCCGTTGCCATGGATCAAAGGATGTCAGGCCTGACAGACCCTGAGTGGGCATCCAGCCCAGTGGCTCCCAATATTTTCGAGCATGGAGACCCCTTTTATCAATCACGTTTTCAAAATTTACTGGTTGAAAACATACTTAGTAACAAAAGTATCTGTAAATTCAATGACACTCATAAATGACTCTACATTATATTTATCATCTACATTCATTTGGAAGGTAGTAGTTCATATAAATGTGAGACCTAGGATTTATAGAGTCTAAAGACATTTCTTGCTGAACTTGGAATTTCTGGACCCTTTGAAATATTTTCCTGACCCTCCCACTCAAGTTGGAAGTTGTCAGTTCTGGTCCTCTGAGTAGCAGATGCCAAGACAGCATTAGATGTGCAAAAGATTTATTGAGGGAAATTTCTGTGAAGGTTAAATGGGATGTGGGCAAGACTAGGCAGGGAGAGCTTTCACATCACAAATGCAGGTCCTAGGAAGGATATCGGGAGGGAAGGATTGGATAGGAAGAGTCTCAGACTGCATTTAGTGCAGTCCTCGCCAGCTGATGGGGAGTCCCTGAGCCAAATCTGCCCATTAGAGGAAGCTCCCACTGGGCCAGCACCAGGACCCTTGCCATGCTCAGTCACTGGCTGGGTGCAGCCTGGTATAAACGTTGCCTCAGATTCACAGGAGCAGTAGCTGGGGGCTGTCAGTTAACCAAGTTCCCCACAGTAGCTTGTTTTAAAGGAGATGGGGCAGCACGTCTCCAAGGCAGCCAAAGGTTAGAAATCATGGATATGGTCCAATATCCTCATTATACAGATGAAGCAAATGAGGCCCAATTACATAAGTCACTTAATCAGGATGAGAACTTACTAGATCCAGCTCCCAGGTCAGCAGAGTGCTTGAATACTTTGACTCTGGGGTTAAATTCACCTGCAAAATGGGGGACTTGGGCAAGTGCTTTAATCTCTCTTAGCTTCATTGCCTTCCTAAAGAGATGCTGTTTAAGGGTACATACTTGTAACTAGCAGATAAATACGTCCTGCAGAACTAAAACACAATACAGTGAGTATAGACACCAAACTATATTATAAACATTAAACTTACTAAGAGACTAGATCTTCAATTGTTCCCACCACAAGAAGAAATGATAATTATGTGATGTGATAGAGGTCTTAGCTAATGCTACAACGGCAATAATATTGCAATATAAATGTATCAAGTCAATACTTCATATACTTTAAACTTATACAATGTTATATCTGGACAGCTACATGTAAAAGAACTAAATTAGAACACTTCCTAACACCATACACAAAAATAAATTCAAAATGGATTAAAGACCTAAATGTAAGGCCAGACACTATAAAACTCCTAGAGGAAAACACAGGCAGAACACTCTTTGACATAAATCACAGCGAGATCGTTTTTGACCCACCTCCTAGAGAAATAGAAATAAAAACAAAAATAAACAAATGGGACCTAATGAAACTTAAAAGCTTTTGCACAGCAAAGGAAACCATAAACAAGATGAAAAGACGACCCTCAGAATGGGAGAAAATATTTGCAAACGAAGCAACTGACAAAGGATTAACCTCCAAAATACACAAGCAGCTCATGCAGCTCAATATCAAAAAAACAAACAACCCAATGCAAAAATGGGCAGAAGACCTAAACAGACATTTCTCCAAAGAATATATACAGATTGCCAACAAACACATGAAAGGATGCTCAACATCACTAATCATTAAAGAAGTGCAAATCAAAACTACAATGAGGTATCACCTCACACAGGTCAGAATGTCCATCATCAAAAAATCTACAAACACTAAATGCTAGAGAGGGTGTGGAGAAAAGGGAACGCTCTTGCACTGTTGGTGGGAATGTGAATTGATACAGCCACCGTGGAGAACAGTATGGAGGTTCCTTAAAAAACTAAAGATAGAACTACCTTACAACACAGCAATCCCACTACTGGGCATATACCCTGAGAAAACCATAATTCAAAAATAGTCAGGGCTTCCCTGGTGGCACAGTGGTTAAGAATCCACCTACCAATGCAGGGGACACAGGTTCGATCCCTGGTCTGGGAAGATCCCACATGCCACGGAGCAACTAAGCCTGTGTGCCACAACTACTGAGCCTGCGCTCTAGAGCCCATGAGCCACAATTACTGAACCCGCATGCCACAACTACTGAAGCCTGCACACCTAGAGCCCGTGCTCCTCAACAAGAGAAGCCACCACAACGAGAAGCCTGCACACCTCAACAAAGAGTAGCCCCCGCTCACCGCAACTAGAAAAAGTCCACACGCAGCGACAAAGACCCAGCACAGCCAAAAATAAATTAATAAAATAAATAAATTTTAAAAAGTTTTTTAAAAAAGAGTCATGTACCACAACGCTCATTGCAGCACTATTTACAATAGTCAGGACACGGAAGCAACCTAAGTGTCCATCGACAGATGAATGGATAAAGAAGATGTGGCACATATATACAGTGGAATATTACTCAGCCATAAAAAGAAATGAAATTGAGTTATTTGTAGTGAGGTGGATGGACCTAGATTCTGTCATACAGAGTGAAGTAAGTCAGAAAGAGAAAAACAAATACCATATGCTAACACATATATATGGAATCTAAAGGAGAAAAAAAAAAAAGGTTCTGAAGAACCTAGGGGTAGGACAGGAATAAAGATGCAGACGTAGAGAATGGACTTGAGGACACGGGGAGGGTGAAGGGTAAGCTGGGACGAAGTGAGAGAGTGACATGGACATATACACACTACCAAACGTAAAATAGATAGCGAGTGGGAAGCAGCCGCATAGCACAGGGAGACCAGCTCGATGCTTTGTGACCACCTAGAGGGGTGGGATAGGGAGGGTGGGAGGGAGGGAGACGCAAGAGGGAGGAAATATGGGGATATATGTATACATATAGCTGATTCACTTTGTTATACAGCAGAAACTAACACACCATTGTAGAGCAATTATACTCCAGTAATGATGTTTAAAAAAAATGATAAAAGCAGCTACCTCATAAGACTATTGTGAGACTTAAAAGAGAAAAGACATATAAAAATGCTTGGCACAGTACCTGAGACATACTAACCAGTCAACAAACGGTAGCTATTATTTCCAGTCCAGTGTTTTTTGTACTAGATGTAGATAAACTAAAAATGCAGAGAACATCTTACTATGTCCTTATACTTTCTCTCCAATTTATCCTCTCATAGACACTCAATGAAAAGTAATACAGTCACTTGGGAATTATCCCTAAATTACCCCCGATGTTTGCAAAGATCCCCAAAGCTTAAGACTATCATCAGCATCCCAAATCTCTTAAGTCAAGTGGCCTCTGTGCCCAGAGGAGACAAAGAGCTTTAAGAAGACCTCCTCAACAGGTTTTTAGAGTTGAATCATTTAGTGCTTTGAATGTTAATTCAGTTAAGTTTTATTCAAGATAAAAATAAGCCTCTGATATTTAAAAGCCAATTCAATTCCTTCAGATGTTTACTAAATTGGAGGACAAGAAATCAATGCTACAAAGTCAGGGAGGAACGTGCACATTCTTGGAGAGTCACCGCTGCTCCTAAGAGCGCATCTCAGGCCTTTCGTGGAGCTTGGCAAAGGGAAGTGAGCCAAAGGCCGGTGGGGCTGCATGATCATGAGAAGTGAGAGTCTTATTCAAGACTGTGAGCTGTTGGTCTCAGGGAGGGCACATCTTTTTTCTCCCTGATTTGAAGACTACTCTCCACCCTATCTTAAAACAAACAAAACAAAAACAGTGTACTGGCACAACAATGGGAATATAGTTGACTCAAACTGTACATTTAAAAATGGTTAAGACGGTTAAAAAAAAATAAAAGCAATAGGGAATTCTGTGCAAGGGGTGGGGAAAAAAGGTATGTGAACTCTCTACTTTCGGCTCAATTTTTCTATCACTGCTCTAAAAAATAAAATTCATTAATTAAAAAAGAAAGAAAAAACACATATTATGCTAGGTGAAATAAGCCAGATACTAAAGGCCACATGTTTGATTCCATTTATACGAAATGCCCAGAATAGACAAATCTATAGAGACAGACAGTGGTGGTGTTTGGGGCGGGGGGCGGGAGGGGAAGTTATAGGAGGAGAAGATAAATAGGCAGAACACAGAGGATTTTTAGGGCAGTGAAAATACTCTGTATGATGTTATAGTGTTGGATATATGTTATTATACACTTGTCCAAACCCACAGAATATACAACACCAAGAGTAAACCCTAAGGTAGACTATGGACTTGGGATGATTATGATATATCAATATAGGTTCATCCTTTGTTAAAAAAAACTACTAATAATGAAAAATAATAATAAAGGGCCATTCTGGTAAGTGATGTTGATAATGGAGGAGGCTATGCATGTATGGGGGCAGGAAGCATATGGGAAATCTCTGTACCTTTTCCTCAATTTTGTTGTAAACCTAAAATGTCTCTAAAAATAATAAAGTATTTTAAACAAAAAAGTAGATAGTGGTTGCTGAGGGCTTGGGGGAGGAAGGAATGGGAAGTGACTGCTAATGGGTATGGGGTGTCTTTTTGGGGTGATGAAAATGTGCTGGAATTAGATAGTGGTGATATTTGCACAAGTCTCTGACTATACTAAAAACTACTGAATTGTATACTTTTAAAGGGCCTATTTTATATTATATGAATTATATTCCAATTAAAAAGAAACATGTACTGGGCTTCCCTGGTGGTGCAGTGGTTGAGAGTCCGCCTGCCGATGCAGGGGACACGGGTTCATGCCCCAGTCCGGGAAGATCCCACATGCCGCGGAGCGGCTGGGTCCGTGAGCCATGGCCGCTGAGCCTGCGCGTCCGGAGCCTATGCTCCGCAACGGGAGAGGCCACAACAGCGAGAGGCCCGCGTACCGCAAAAAAAAAAAAAGAAAAGAAAAGAAAAGAAACATGTACTGAGTATAATGAAGATCTCACCTCTTTTCCTTTCACCAGGAGACCACTGGATACAATACAGGAGAGTGGAGTACAGAAGGAAGAGAACCAGCAAAGGTTATTTGTCTCTCCTGCCTTAGGACCTTGCCCATCACCCTCTCATCAGAGACTGTACAGCAAGGCTGGCTGCTAAACCAGCTCTCAACAACTTTACCCTTTCATAGCCTCTGTGGTTGTATATGTTGAAAGAGGCATGTGGTCCTCTGCTGTAAATAGCTTCTTCTGTGTGCTTTTATTTCTCCTTTTCTTATCTGCTAACAACAATTATCTATTATCTCTTGATTTCTCTTTTCACTCCTTCCCATTCAATGCATACTCTTTCCATGTCTCCTTCATCTAATGATCTTACAAGATAGATAGATAAAAGCCCCTCTGGCTGGCTGGTTAGCCTTACATCCACTCATTTACCCATCTATACATCTATCCATTACCTACCTCAGGAATCCCCATCATTTTGGAAGGAAAGGGCTCACTTCCTGGCAACACCAACAGAAAAACAACTCCTGCAAAGAAAGAGCCACTATTATGTCCCAGCTTCTGTGACCAGGAACTAGTGAGTTTCTTCACTTCACATTTCTAGCTGCTACTACAGTAAAGGGAGCGAAGCGAAAGTTCATCAAGGCCATGGTCTGTCCAGCTGACTCACAGATATATTATTTTAGCACTTTGAGAATAACTGTTTACAGAGCATGGTTAGTTCATTATTAATATGGTGATGAAGGAAGCTGAAACAAATTGCTTAAGTGTTGCTTAGGGTTGGCCTAACCTATGAATTTATGTTTATTGACAGACGCTTATTGACAAATATTTATAGGCGAAACCAGAAGTTACCTACCCCCAAATTCCTCCTCTATAACTTCACCACTTGCAGATTTATGGAAAAAAGTAAGTAGAAAGTAATTTGGTAAGCAAATTGTTATTTCTAGTTTCAAATAGCCCTTTGGAGGGATATATTTATTAGTGATTCAAATATTAGTATCAATTAATTTAATGATATCCACACCTGGATATAATCAGCCTGGATTGAAGCTTTATCTATGAGAGAAGAAAGAAAGTCTACCATGTTTCGTTTGGATATACACTCAGGAGTGGAATTGCTGGGGTAGTTCTATTTTTAGTTTTTGAAGAAACCTCCATACTGTCTTCCACAGTGGCTGAACCAATTTACATATACATTTAAACAATCTTTTTTATTTATTTTTTGGCCGCGCCATGTGGTACGCAGAGATCTTAGTCCCCTGACCAGGGATCGAACCCGTGCCCCCTGCAATGGAAGCACAGAGTCTTAACCACTGGACCACCAGGGAACTCCCTACATTTATTTATATATCCAAAAGAAACAAACAAACAAAAAAATTTGAAAAGGTACATGCACCACAACATTCACAGCAGCATTATTTAAACTGCCAAGGTATGGAAGCAACCTAAGTGTCTGTCAACAGATGAATTGACAAAGAAGATGTGGCATATATATATAATGGAATACTACTCAGCCATAAAAAAGAGTGGAATTTTGCCATTTGCAGACACATGGATAGACTTTGAGGGCATTATGCTAAGTGAAATATGTCAGACAGAGAAAAACAAATACTGTATGATACCACTTATATGTGGAATCTAAAAAATACAACAAACAAGTGAATACCTCAAAAAAAGAAGCAGACTCACATATATAGAGAACAAACTAGTGGTTACCGGAGGAGGGGGAGGGGCAACATAGGGGTGAGGGAGTGGAAGGTACGAACTACTGGGTGTAAGAGAGGCTCAAGGATATATTGTACAACACAGGGAAGACAGCCAATATTTTGTAATAATTGTAAATGGAAAGTAACCTTTAAAAATTGTATAAAACTTTTTAAAAATTAAAAAAGTAGAAAGTTCCACCATGGGGGCCTTAACACCATTCCACTTACCTACCTACTGACTTCTTCTTTAAAGTCTAAATTCAAGAGCCACGTTCTCTTGGAAAATGTGTTTCTTCATGTCTCTAGTTTGGGTTCATTTTTTTGGGTCCACCAATAGCCCCCTGTGCAAGACACAGACTACAAGACAATATTAGCACTACACATATCTGATAAAGCATTTGTAACAAGAATACTTATAAAGCGATTTTACAACAATAACAAGGCAAACAACCCATTTGTTAATGGGCAAAAAATATGAAAAGGACATACATAAATAGCCAATAATTACATTAAAAGGTGCTAGAGAAACATTAGTTATCAAGGAAATGCAAATCAAGATACCATCAGAATATCTAAAATTAAAAGACTACAGATACCAAGCGATGGAGAGGATGTAGAGTGACCAGAACTCTTATTCATCGCTGGTGGGAATGTAGAACAGTACAACCATTTCAGAGAATGCTTGGGCAGTTTCTTATAAAGATAAACATATGTCTACCGTATGACACTGAAACTCCACTCCTAGGTGTTCATCGAAGAGAAATGAAAACATGCCTGCACAAAGACTTGTACCTAAATATTCATAGCAACTTTATTTATAGTAGCCCCAAACTATAAACAGCTCAAATGTCCATCAATATGTGAATGGATAGGGGCTTCCCTGGTGGCGCAGTGGTTGAGAGTCCGCCTGCCGATGCAGGGGACACAGGTTCGTGCCCCGGTCCAGGAAGATCCCACATGCCGCGGAGCGGCTGGGCCCGTGAGCCATGGCCGCTGAGCCTGCGCGTCCAGAGCCTGTGCTCCGCAATGGGAGAGGCCACAACAGTGAGAGGCCCACGTAACGCAAAAAAAAAAAAAAAAAATGTGAATGGATAAACAAATTGTTGTACACCTAGACAAAGGATAAATAAAAAGAACTAACTGCTGATATAAGTAGCAGCAAGAATGAATCCCAAATTGTTATGCTGAGTGAAGGAAGCATGACACAAATGCGTGACACAAATACTGCATGATTCCATGCACATGAAACTCACAGTAAAGTTCAATTTAATCTCTGGTGACAAAATGCACATCAGTGGTTACCTTAGCCCAGGAATAGGAAGGGGCAAAAAGAGAAACTTTGAGGATGATGGAAATGCCTATATCTGGACAGTGGTGGCGGCATGCACATACCCTTTTGTCAAAATTCTTCAAACTGTACCTTTAAAATGTGTGCATTTTATTGTTTATAAATTATACTTAATCAAGTTGATTTAAAAATATATGAAAATTCTCCTGCATCCAACTCTTAATCTCCTATAATCTCCCTGTAATCTATATCTTCTCTCTCATATTTATTATAGGCACTGTCGGTTACCCTTGTAACCTTCAAACCTGTCCTATAGAAATTCTGAGGTCTCAAGCACTTCACTCCCTGTGGTCAGTGCTTTACCTTCACATGGTAACTATGGTTTGTCTTTTCTGACCTCAGCTTTAGTCAAGGAAATGCCCCAGAGGGTAACTGCTTTGCATCCTTCATGAGAAATTCTGAGTCATTCATTCCCCTCCATTTCAACTGTGTGTACATTTTTGGCATGATTTCTAAGGATTGTACTAACGAGACACGATATTCTTTCCGTCTTCCTGCCCGTGAGCGAAAGCAGTATGTAGACTAGAGATGTGTGCTCTCTCTCACCATATATCTTCGACATGATTTTCAGATCAATGGGGAAGCTGGTGAGGTTCTTTCCAACCCCCATCCTTCCCCAGTTTGCTTGGCCAACTTCATTTGTGGACAGAGCACATTCATCTTTCTCTTGACTTACGACGATCATGCTGACAGAAGGCCAATTTGATTCCTTGCAGAGCAGTTTTATTTCAACTGAAGAGAATGATCCTTATTTTCCAAAAATCTTTCTCTGGGTCACAGTGTGGCAGGGTTGACTCTTCTGCATTTGCCAAGCAGTAATTCCAATAGTTCAACCCCTCTTGCCTTTAGAGGTTTGGTTTTGCTAAATGAAAGATTCCTATCAGGGAACCTGTTAAGGAAAATGGCTGGAATTAGCAATCATTACAAATACTGGGGAGAGTTCAAGTTACTTTCTGAATAAAAACAGGAATAAAAGCAAAAACAAACCACAGAAGTAGACAAGGGAACAAACTCATCAGACTGTGATATTTCATAGGTGTACCTGCTATTCTGCCACCCCCCATTTCCAACTCAAGGCTCCTTTTAGGTGCAACTGTAGGCAGGAAACAAGTCAGGCTTTCTGTGACAATTTTAGACTTCTGAGAATATTTATTAAATGATTATGAAGATGTAACAACCCTCCCTCAGCCAGTGTTAATAATCTTCTACATGAAATATTCTGTTCAAGGTTTCTAACACCATCAGACAAGATAGTCCATGCATATAATTTCAGTTACTCTGTATTTTCCAGATTAATAAGACTACCTTTGAAACTGTTCTAGTTCAGCAGTGCTGTCTTTATCCTTTCTGAGGTTTTCAAAATCTTTCAGCATCAAAAAGATGACTTGTGAAAGTCTTTTGTAAACTCCAATGTTATAAATAGCATTTGATGATTTTTAGAATACGCATTAAAAACCTACTAGAAAGTAAAAGACATGAGCAGGTAGTTCATGGAAAAAGATACATAAGTGGCCTTTTAAATATATTAATAATGCTCAATTTCACTCATAATAAGAGAAATGCAAATTAAAATTATACTGAGATAGAATTTCTCAACTATCTGACAAAAAAGTCAAGACTTTGATGATATACTTTATGGCCAGACTATGGGGGAAAGAAGGACTTTCATATATTGCTGGTGGGAAAGCAAAATGATACAACCCGTATGGAGGGAAATTTGGCGTTTTCTAGCAAAATTACATATGCATTAACCCTTTGACCCATCAATCCCACTGCTAGAAATTTACCCTGAAAATATACCTTCTCAAACACACAAAAAAGTTATTCATTACAAGTTATTCATTATATTATTTGTAATAAAGTATTAGGAACAACCCACATGCCCATCCATAGGGCATTACAAATAAATCATGGTGCATCTGTACAACAGAATACTATGCAGCCGTCAAAAAGAATGAGGAAGCAGGTTTATTTCATTATTATAAATATAGAAAAAACACATACAAAAAGAATGAGGAAGATCTCTATGAACTAATATGGAATAATTTGAAGACTATATTGTCAAGTGATAAAAAGAAAAGTGCAAAAGAATGCTTATGGTATGCTCTTTTGTATAAGAAAGAAGAGGAAATAAAAACATATATGTATATATTCCCTTATTTTTGCAAAAAGAAAGTCAAGAACAATAAATCTAAAACTCATGAATACAGCTGCCTGTAGGGGTGGATGAGTGGGGTATAGGGAATAAGGGTGCAATTTCCCTGATTAGAACTGTTTTACTAGTTTTTACTTTTAAGCTATGCATTTTTTACATATTCAAACATAAAATTCAATAAAAAGAAAGATAAGATAAAACCTTAACATTAAATACAGGAAGAAGTGAATGTTACTGTATACTACATACATAACATAGCCACACAGAAAAATGAATTAATTCAAATAACTTTTAAATATAATACTAAGATTGTATACCATTTATAGAATATATCTTAAGGTCAAAAGAATTATAAAGATATCTTTATAATTTTAAAGAATTATAAAGTATGAACTTTACTTAAGGTTCATAAATGATAGTATTATTGATTGTTGTGTTTCCAAAACTAAATTGTGTTTAATGTATAATAGTATAAACAAGTAAAAATATTGATGTTTGAAACCAAGGTTTTCACTGTGGGATAAGGAAAAGACATATACGGAATGGGAGAATTAAGGTTTGGGGCCATTTTTTGTTCGAATTAAGGAAGCATTATGAATTCATCATTTAATTTTTTTTTCTAGCTCTGTCTATAAAAAGGGCCAGAAGCAATGATACTCCAGTAGTAATGAGCATACCTCACACTCAGTTCTTTGTTTCCAAATAACATTTCCCACTCAAAGAAACCAGGGCTTCTTATGAACACGGCTGGCTCCTGGTCTGGGGCAGGGAAAGTAAAAGGTGATATGGAAACATCTTGTGCCAGACAGCAAGAAGTGCTCAAAGATGGATGTGGCTATGTCAAAAGGACAAAGAAGCATTGAATTAAAAGAAATAATGAGTCCATATTTGTTGGGCTGTATCCTACAGGTCTGCAAAGCCTGTACTTGCTTAGCATCAAGACCAAAGAAAGAACCGGAGTCAGCAAAAGAGACATCAGTGGTTTAAAGGATGGGGGACCTTACATGTCTGAAGCAAGGTCCTGGAGTGACATCCCGCTATGTGCAGCAGAGGTGGGGCAGGACATGGCGGCAGTCTTTGCTCCCAGTGGCAGGGGGAGATTACCAGTTATAGGGGGAACTGACATCAGGTCAGCCCATCGGTTACCAGGGAAACCAGCAGAGGGGCACACCCCTCACTTTCCCTTTGATAAGCTATCATAGTGGAGATGCTCTAATCTAAAGTTAGAACAATCACTAGCTGGGGCCAGGAGCAAGTATGTAGGAAGGTCAGTCAGGTAAGTAGGGTATAGGTGAAGCAGGCACTGGTGGGGCAGGAGGTGTACAGAGAAGAAGAGTATAGCCACCTTGGGTGGCCTGACCATACAATAGTGATACTCGAGGAGAGGGAAGGACCCTCACTCTCCAATACCTCCAAGTGAAATGTCTACAATTCTGTCCCTGGAGAAGCACTGTGCTACCACCAGAAAAAGAGAATCCACACAGAGACCTTGGGAGTAATAAAACAGATTCAAAACAAGTGAGTTGGATCACAAACTTTAGGACCTTGGAACAGATTCTCTCAGAGAGCAGAGAGACGCAAAGGAGAACAGAGCTAGGTCAAAATGTCCCCCTTACGTAATGATAGGGTTAGGGCTCGGTCGAGCGAGAACTCTGGGAGGGGGCTGATGGCCTAATTTTGCTCACGTGGAGAACTCTGACTCTCCTTCTCACACAGGGCTCTCCAGGACGGGCGTCCTTATTCCATAAAGCCAAAGAGCTTCTTTAGCTCAGGAATTTGTGTAGTTAACAAAATGATTTATTGAGTGTAACTGAACCCACTCTGTCAGGAGAACTATTAATAGTTGTGGCATAAACTCACCGTCCACACACTACAAAGGATGTACAGTGGGTTCCAATAAGTTTCCAGCCTTCCTCCTAAGGATGTGGTAAGAGAACGTTCTCAGGGCAGGTTTTGTCCAAATCCTCGTCTGTGTGTCCTTCATTGCCCTTGTCACCACAGACTCCCTATTAAAGCCTCTCAGTCTTCCCTCCAGCACTGGCTGAAATTATAGCCCTCACTGTATCCACTGATTGCAGGAGAAAACGTTAGTGTCCCTCCAACTTGCCTTGCAAGATGCTGCTTGCAGATTTGTGACAGTGGAGCTTTCTCTCTCTCACACCCATGTGCTCTGGTCCTGCTTCTCTCTGCAGAACTACACTCCCTCTACTCCAGTGATGGTATTGTAAGCGTTCCGTCAGCTGGAGGAGAATCTGAAAATCTTTTTGGCCAGAAGATCTCTCTGAAAATGGATCGCCCATCAAAAAGAAACAGGGCAGCCACGACACTTCTGATGAAGCTCCACTAACATCCCTCAGAGGCCATAGGTCAAGCGGTTACCCTTCTATCACTTCTTGCCCAAGGTCATCTCCCCAGGTGTTCTGCTTGCTCTGGAATGCTGTTATCCTAATTAGACCCAAAGCCCTACAACCGGGAGGTTAGGAAAGACAATTGGAGACATCCTGCAGTTTGCCTGGAGTGTCTACTCTCAGGCTCAGCTAAGTATTTTTCAGAAGCGCGCTGGAGCTGGCTCATATGCGCTCACAAGGGCAGCCTGTTAAATTTTCAGGAATTTCGCAAGTCAATTGTTGAACAATTGGTAGCTTGAAATTGGCCTGGTGGGAATATTTACACAAAGGAAATTGGAAAACACTAAAAATCACTGTCCTTCCTCTCAGCCCCAGCTGGTTAAATCTTTACCAGCACACTACTATTAGTAATAGTAACCTATGCAGTCTATATAGTAGATAAGCACACCGGTTTTAGAATCAGGTTGATTTGAACTAGAGTCCTAGCCTCACACTTATATTACTTAACTCTAGTTTCCCAAAGTAAAATTGAGATTAAAAAAAAAAATACTACGTCATGTAACACTGATTTCCCATTCTTCATGTTTCCACTTGGAAAACTTCCATTAGAGTCACACTCCTGGTTCTTCTCTGATCCCCAAGGGAGGAGGAGTGAATTACATAATGCGTGAATTTAGTAGAAGAAGCTCAGCATGTGTGACTGCCATTCTAGCAAATGGCACCAAACGTCATGGGCCAAGATAGTTGCTTGAGCATCTAAAGGTTCTGCACCAAATTCCAATGGTGGGGGGGGGGGGGGGTCCCCACACCACAGAGCAGTTCTTGGGCACCAGCTGGGTGGCCTACAATCCAGCTCAATTCTGACACTATCTACCAGAGAGAGCTTCAGATTCCACAGGTTAACGGCTCCATCCCACGGGACCGCCCTCCACATCCAATGCCAATAGCCAAGTCCAGATCCACACCAGTGCTTCGGACTGACTGGCTGTAAACCAGAGGTTCCCACAACCTCCTCCTTGGGCTCAATTAATCTGTTCACAGAACTCAGAGAAACATTTTACTTACTAGATAACCAGTTCATTATAAAAGGATATAGGGGACTTCCCTGGTGGTCCAGTGGTTAAGACTTCGCCTTCCAGTGCAGGGGGTATGGGTTCGATACCTGGTCGGGGACTTAATATCCCACATGCCTCAAGGCCAAAAAACCAAAACATAGGGGCTTCCCTGGTGGCGCAGTGGTTGAGAGTCCGCCTGCCAATGCAGGGGACACGGGTTCGTGCCCCGGTCCGGGAAGATCCCACATGCCGCGGAGCGGCTGGGCCCGTGAGCCATGGCCGCTGAGCCTGCGTGTCCGGAGCCTGTGCTCCGCAACGGGAGAGGCCGCAA